TAATTAATTAATAAATTTAGATTTGGCTTCCTGGGCGAGCAAACAAACCTCGAAAGAATCGCTACGTGCCATCTGATTTGCTCAGCGTCCGTTGTGAGTCTGTTCAGATTGAACGTTGTCGTTTAGCCCTCTGATGTTCTGTCCTTAATGACCGAACTACCCTCACCTTTAACAAACCTTATCTCCTTAAGATTCCTGGGCCCTTTTGTCATTCCACATCCCAAAATCTCATGTCGGATCACGTGAGTTTTCCGTGACCTATCAATGTGAATTGGGCCCCACTTTTGTTACTGCGAGTAAATCTCCAGGCTCTTTACTGCAGTGGAAAATGTTTTCAGGGTTGATTCTGTCAGGGTTAATTTGGTAATTTAGGTGATTATTTTTGTTTTTCAGGGTGGCGTGCAAGAAGCGAGGCGGGATCAGGTTCACCGTCAACGGTTTCCGTTACTTCAGCCTGGTTCTGGTCACCAACGTCGCCGGAGCAGGGGACATCGTGCGGGTGAGCGTGAAGGGAACCAACACTGCCTGGCTGAGCATGAGCCGGAACTGGGGCCAAAACTGGCAGTCAAACGCCGTCTTGGTTGGCCAAGCCCTCTCCTTCAGGGTCACCGGCAGCGACGGACGCACCTCCACCTCCCACAACGTCGCACCCGCTAATTGGCAGTTCGGTCAAACCTTCACCGGAAAGAATTTCCGTGTCTGAGTCCTTTAAATTTCCCTCCATTTTAAACTCCATTTTTTTTCATCTTTTTTTACTTTGTGTTCCCCGCCCTTCCTTTTTTCCTTTATTTTCCCGGGAAAATTTTGAAGTGGGACGTACCAAAAGGGTAAAAATAACAGTCTGTCAAAAGAAAATGGTAATAGATAAAGAAGGTTATTAAAGTAAAAAAAAAGTGTCTGCAGTAACTTTATATATATTTTTACCTTTGTTGTTTTATTACTTTTGGAGTTTTTATATGGCTGGTAATTGATGGTAAAATCCAGCAATGGTGAAATATGTATTGTAAGAGCTGAAGCGGCTGCAGGAGGCAACAAAACATGTAGCCGGCAGTTCTTGCTCATATAATACTCTCCATTATTAATATATATAATTGTCATGTTTCAAATTTTCAATTCTCTTTATTGCTCCTCATCTTCAATTTTAATGTGAATTAATTTATTTCGTCTGTTTTTTGAAAATGGAAAATTTTGGGGAAGGAGACTTGCAACTTGCAATCCTAGCATTGTGTTGAAACCTTTGAAGGGTGGCTCAATTGAATGTCAAGGTGCAAAATTTAAACTTTAAAACTTGTGAAAAGAATTTGAAGATTAAGAAAAATATTGGATCTCAAGGTGTGAAACTTGAACTTTAAAATGGGTGACAACTAACAAACAATTTTGAGGAGAGGTCATCGATGTTATGACTCATTATCAACTGTACTACGAAATAAATAAGAATAGAGTTAGTTAAACCCATGAAGGTTCTGAGCCTTTTTAAAAGGTTATGAAGCATTAGATGGCGTTATAATGTGAAATTTATTTGACGGGTGGGAATGAAATGAATGTGAAATTTACATTAAATGTGAGATGGGTACCGGAGTTATTCAGGGCACCAACCTCGAAGGGGCATGTCGGTGGATGAGCAGGAAGACGTGTGGGGTACTGGGCTGGGACTTGAGCAACCATGGTGAAGCTGTCTATTTATCTTTTCCTTTGTAGTGTTGTGGCACTGAGGCTGAGGCTGAGCCATCTTTTCATTCTTCTTGATTTGGTGTCGTTTTGAAAATTGAAGCGCTGAATAAAGGAATCTTCTTTAACCCAAATAAATCAAAAGGTTTCTTTAGCTATTCCACTCTAGTCCTACAGAGATCACTTTTCTTGTGAACCATGCACGGTTCTTTTAGATAAAGGGTAAAAGGTCCATTTCTCTTCCCTTTGGAATCCATTGTTTTACGAAGTGATCAGCTTACAAAATTATGGATAAAACAAAGGCAAAGGAGGAGATATAGCCGTTGATTTATTTTTTTTTTTAATTTTTAATTTTTAAAAACGAGTAGGCCGGTGGATAGCCTTTGTCAAGATATATACCTATTTGGAAAGAAAGGAGAATGGAGAATGGGAAAAATTGGAGTAAGAATGGAATATAATGCTACATTTTCTATGGTTACAACATCAAAAAATGGAGATGAATGAAAAAGGGGAAGGGTGAAGTGGGGTCGGTTTTTCACTTGTTTGAAATAAATTCTGTGAGAATAATTCGATCTTTTTTTCCTTCAATGGTGCAGCAGGACAAGGTGTTGTTGGTCGGTTGATTGATAAGGATGAATTGGATGAACTACGAGTAATTTTTGGGAACAAATTGGAAGGAAAATATGTACCAGAAGGATTAGTTTTTGCTTGAAATTTGGAATAAGAGGGATTGCACACTAACAACCTGCGGTTAGATTGTACCAATGTAAGGGCGCGATTTTAACCCTATGTTGTTTTGAGATAAAATCTATAATTTGTTTGGAAGGTAAAATGGTTGTGAGTCTTAATTTATATATATTTATTGATATGTAAGATAATAAATAAGAGAATAAATACTTTCTGTTTTCATCATAAATTGCATTTTTTAAGTGATATGTGTTAATGGACGAGGTAAAATCAAATTTATTGAAGGAATGCATATCTGTAAAATTGGTTGGGAGGATAAAGATTATTCAGTTTGTTGTAGTTTGAATTTAAAAGAAACAAAAATCCCTAAAATTTGGGAGAAAGTTCAATTGAGAAGTTATCTGTGATCTGAACAACTAGCAATGAGGCCGGGAGATAGTTTACAAGAAGCATATAAATTGAAACTTTCTGATTTTTCAACACACATGGCCAACCCTGCACAAAACTCATCAAATTTTCAATTCTTTAGTTTCATAGTGACTGCTTACCTTAGCTTTCATATTTCAGTTTTAGCACAGATTTCAATAGATTTAAATTATTTTTAGCATTCAAATACGCAAATTAATTTGTGTAATTGCTTCTTTGATTTCCTTTCATGTAATAAACATCAAGTTTACTCTAATTTGCATTTTGTTCAGTTCATTTAGGATCTATTAATTTAAATTCATGGTATTGGTGAAGTCCTTGAGATTGTCCAAGGCAGATTAGTAACCCATTCTACAAGAAGGCATATTTCCCTCATGCAAATCATCTGAAGAGCGCAAAGCTCAATTTTAAACCAACTTTTTCCAGCCATCCTGACATAGGCTAACCGCGTGGAAGAAGAGGGTCATTGGGAAAATCCTCTTTTCTTACTTTTTAGCAAAGTAAATGACATGCTTGCATTCAAATTCTGCACGTGCGAAGCCACTTAAGAATTTTTGAGGCAACAATCTTTTTGTGGCATGCCTGGTGGGACCTCATCGTGTCTCACTTAGTTTCTAGATCCACTTTTTTTGTATCCAAGAAGAGGCGCAGTTATGCCACCCAATAACAGGAATAGGGATAAAGAGGTTCAGCCACCACAAGCTGAACATGCAGATGATAGCCCACTCCACTTTGAGGGAGAAAATGATCCCATTACTTTTCCCCCATTTTCACCTTTAGCAAAATGATTCTATGGAAATCTAGTATTCAAGGAGAAAGAGGTGGATCGTGGGGGTGACTTTGTTAAATCAAATAATGTGATCAGAATCTTGACAAAGCGTATGGAGTTAGCATGCAAGGACTAGACCCAAATTATACAAAAACTCCTTGAGAACTAAGCATAATCTTCTAGACATCATGAAGAGGCAATAAGACAATATATGGTTAAACCAAGATGGGTTTTTGAGAAAGACACTAGAGCAATGAGAAAAACTGAGGATGAGAATCATAAAACATTGCAAGCTATTTTAGATCAGGTGGTTGAACAGGTGCGTCAGCTCATACCAGAACTACCACTACTAGCTCAGGCAGTGGATCCTCACAGGTAAATCCAGAATCCATCGGCTTCAATGCTTAGGGGGCAAGTCAATTAGCCACATCTACCTACACGAAACCAACCAGCAGTTGGTGGTTCAATGCAGCTAGAATCAGTAGAGGTTGCACCATGTGTGGCAAATATGGGAAATCAACAACATCTTCAAGAAAAGATCGACAAAGGGATTTTGCGGTCCCATAAAAGGCAAAGGAAACAATGGGAATTGATGTAGACCCATTCTTAGACTTGTCTATTGGAGCGAACGTGGTAGATCTCCGGAGTCTTATCAAGGATAGAAATCAATCATACTTCAAGTGCAGACTTACCGCTAATGACTTGAGATGAGTCATTAAGAAGGCCAAAACTTGCAAAGATCAAGCCATATTAGATTCTTCACGAAGAAGAAGGTACATGGGGCATGATCTGAAGCAATAGAAAATTGGTCCAAGTTAGAGTGCTGTGAAATATGGTTGAAAGGAGCAACCTAGGATGGTGAACCACCAATCAAATCTCCTAGCCGAAAATGGGAGCAAGTGGTTCATCCAAAGTTTCCTAAAGCTCAAAATCCCAAGACTTTGAGGTGACACTTACAACGTAAGAGAGCAGAAGAGAGGTGCCAGCAACAAATGGAGAATTTGTGAGGCATGGCAGATCTGGCTTAGCCATTCCCAACGAGAATGAAATCCATCTGGGTCTTGAAAGACAAAGGCAGGGCATTAAGTAAACATCACCAGAAGATGAAAAACAACCCAAAAGTCCAACTTCTCCCCAAGTTATGACTATAGAGGCTAGTGAGGAAACTAGCTTGAAAGCAACGTTCAAGGTGGCAAAAGAAACAGAAAATTCAATGGAGCAAGAAACCATCCAATTTGGTGAGTTTCTATGAATTTGTCTTATTTGGTGCTTACTCTTCTTCTAGTCTTCCAAGGTAAAGAAGAACCAGAATCTGTAGATTACCAGCAGGCAGATTAGATTGAGGAAGGAATTATTAAGATCCTTACAAAGGAGGATGAAAATGAGATTTCAACAAACAAAATTATTTTTGAGAAGCCAGAAGAGAAGATGGCCAGACATATAAGGCCGTTATACATTCATGCTCACATGGATGGTATGCTAGTCAATCAAGTTCTGGTAGACAATGATGCTTTTGTTAACGTGTTGCAAAATTGTATGTTACACAGAATCAGCAAATCTTTGAAAGATGTGATGGAGACAGAAGTGACGATCAACGACTTCACAGGTGGAGCAAATCACTCAAGGGGAATTCTGCCAATAAAGCTCAATGTGGGAAACAAAACTCTCATGTGTGCATTCTTTGTGGTTGACACTATAGCAACTTATAATACATTACTTAAAAGAGATTGGATCCATTCTAGTCGGTGTGTTTCTTCAACTTTGCACCAGAAATTGATATTCTGGAATTGTGGCAAAATTGAGGTTGTGAAAGCTGATGACAAACCTTTTGTGGCTATCACCAATTCGGTGGAAGCTCGTTATTAAGACGAAGAAATTCGGGCCATCTGCTTCTTTGGGATGGACTGTAATGGCAGATCAGCTAGAATTACTGTCAGTACCAGATCCACACTCACTAAATGCATAGTGAAGGAGGTTTGCAATGAGCTTTTTTGGCCTACAGTAATTGTTCCTTTTAGGTTGAGGGAGGAACCAGAAATTGAAAAAATTCCATGAGGAGACAATACATCAATTGCTAAAAAATGGAGGCAGTGGAAGAAATCAAAAGGAAGTTAGCAGCCTATCTTGCAAAAAAACAAATCCGTGTAAATAGATTTGAGGTAGTCCACGAAGGTGAAAAGGAAGATCTAACAGAGGAAGTTACTTTGGAGGGGTTAGATTTGGCTCCAACCAAACTTGACGATCTGAAAGCAGAAGTACAAGATTCGCTAGAGGAGGTGTTGATCTAAATTTGTAAGCCAGCCAGATTTGGTCGTGAGCAATCATATTGACTAAATTATGACTGTGTTAGATTTCAAGTTGTCGCAAATCAACTATGAAACAAAGGCTATGAAAGAGGAAAGCTGATCTTTGATTTTGGAAACTGCATTCAAGTTTGCCTCCATATTTGTGAGAAGTTTGTTGTGTTGTTCTGCCAAGCTCTTTTTTGTCTATTCCGCAAGGGGAATCTATTTGTTTGGTTTTGCAAGCTTGGCTTTAAGGTTTGAGATCTTTTCTTTTAGACCCTGGACTTGTTTAACATGTGCATTTTGGTGGTTGAAATCTGGCACGTGGCATTGGCGGTAGGAGTATGCCTGCGATTTATTTAATTATAAACAATTAAATTTATTTTTATAAAATCAAGTGTTGGGGGGCATTGTTTACACCATAAATTGCATTTTTTAAGTGATGCCACGTGTTAATGGATGAGGTGAGATTAAATCTACTGAAGGGATGCAAATTTGTAAAATTGGTTGGGAGGATAAAGATTATCTAGTTTGTTGCAGCTTGAATTTAAAAGAAACAAAAATCCCTAGAATTTGGGAAGAAGTTTAGTTGAGGAGTTATCTGTGATATGAACAACAAGCAATGAAGCGGAGAGATAGTTTACAAGAAGTGTATAAATAGAAGCTTTTTGATTTTTAAACACACATGGCCAGCCTTACACAAAACTCATCAAATTTTCAATTCTATAGTTTCGTAGTGACTGCTCACCTTAACTTTCATATTTCAGTTTTAGCACATATCCTAGTAGATTTAAGTTATTTTCAACATTCAAGTACGCTAATTAGTTTGTGTAATTGCTTCTTTGATTTCCTTTTGTGCAATAAACATCAAGTTTACTCTATTTTGCATTTTGCATTTTGTTTATTTAGGATCTATTAACTTAAATTCACGGTACTGGTAAAGTCCTTGAGATTGTCCAAGGCAGATTAGCAACCTATTCAGCAAGAAGGCATCCCTCCCTATTGCAAATCATCTAAAGGGTGCAAAACTCAATTTTAAACCAATGTTCTTCTAGCCATCTTGATGGAGGTTCACCACGTGGAAGAAGAGAGTCATTGGGAAAATCCTCTTTTCTTGCTTTTCAAAAAGGTAAGTGGTACGCCTGCATCCAGATTCTGCACATGCAAAGTCACTTTAGAATTTTTGAGAAAGCACTTTCTTTTATAAATTTTTTTAAAATTATCTCAAAATTTAAATTCCTAACCACTGAAAAGGTGCTTAATCCAGGGTGGTGACTGTTGATAATAATTGTAGCCTAGGTTCCAAACTCTAAAGTGACTGATGAAGAGGATTTTGTGATTTTGTCATTAAAAAAAAGACTAATGAATTTATGCGGACAGCGAACTAGGGGATGCAATTTTAACGTGATATGGACTGATAGCCCAGATAGCCAATTCCGGGGTCATGCGAACCAATGAAAGCCCATTTACCAGTCAGTAAAATAGGATAAAAGAAGGAACACGCCGTCTGTGGGAATCGAACCCACGACCACGTGGTTAAAAGCCACGCGCTCTACCGGCTGAGCTAAGACGGCATTTTAATCATCAATTTAACAGTAAATACTTAAATTTACTATTTTGAAAACAACAGATTTAAGACTGACGATCGTACGAAATGATCCATCGTAAATTCAATCATTAAATCCTCACATCCGCCTCCACCAAAAAAAAAAATTTCATAGACTGAATCAGGATAATATTCACTCAATTTACGTGACTGTATATGCTCACATTGAAAAGATAAGCCACCGAAAAACTCAAAATAATACAAGAGACAACATTACACGAGAATGAACTCTCTAGGAGGTACTTAGCAGGGGTTAACTCCTAAAGCATCATAAAGTGATGACCCCTTTGTGTTTCTCTGGTGAAAGTGATACTATAAATCACGGAAAGCAAAATGCAACGAATTTCCAAGCTTATTGTTATGAAACTGAAAGAACTTGTTTGTGTTGAATTTATCTACTGTCTCAAAACTCTGTTTGAGCTGAAGACAAAGTTCTCTTCACCAGCAATGGTCGAGTGCAGCCTTCCTGCAGCCCAGCCATTGTTTAAAGCACGGACAGCAGCACGGGCTGGGTCCCCTGTTACATGGCTTCCCTCAACCTGTTTTTCAAATTCTGGAAGACCACTTGCCTTCCTCTCTTTCCTTCTCTTCCTCTCCTCATCTCTTTCCTTCCTCAGCCAGCTTTCAACTGTTCTCTGCAAACACAACTCAATGAGGCATTCCAAAGACACAGACCAGAGGCCAAAAGGGAAGATAATGAACGGAATTTATACAATATTGCATTTTAAGAAATATTTCCATCGTAGTGTTTAATAAAATGGCCACATTTAGTGACTTTCAAAATGTACCATGGCCGAGATCTAGGTTTTAAGTTTTGAATGAGAAAACTACCATTAGTGATAAATTGCTGATTTCCTTAAGCTTATCCATTGGCATTGCTAGCTGTAACTTTCCATGAGCCACGTAGACCTGGAACAAAATTAGGACTTAGAAGCCAAGAAAATGGTAGTAGGTCATCTACTTATTTATCTATTTGTTTACTCAAAGAATAACAGTTCTAGAAAAGGAGTTCTTCTAAAGGAAAAGCAGTCGTAAAAAGAAACCGAGACATACAACATGTGATGGCCACTCCTCTAGACCATCAAATATATGAGTTGCATAGATAATTGTGGCACCACGCTCTTCACATTCCTTTCTAAGGAAATTCAGAAGGTCAGCCCTTGCTAGCACATCGAGGTCAACTGTTATCTCATCAAGAAGAAGAACCTAGATGAACAAGGCAGACGTTAAAATTGAAATTTAAAACAACTGAGACAAATAGATTTTGAAGTTCCTTAAGGAAGGTTTAAATTGATGCTTTGCAAAGGTCCAGCCTAGCACTTTCGAGTACCAAACGAAAATGTGGAGATACCTTGAATGGCTTGAGGAGACCCATACAAATTTGGACTCGCCTTCTCTGACCATCAGATACCTTGTGCATCCTCCATGACATATCAACACCTAATACCTACACCAAAAGAGAGAGTATGACTTAGAAATATCTGCAAAAAAAAAAAAAAAAAAAAGAAAAAGAAAAGAAAAAAGACTTGAACTCTGGGAGATAATTAATCTGAGGACTCCCTCAAAGAACAATTAATTTCTTCTTCCCTTCTCCACCATGCATTACAAGTTACCTAAGTTCACTATAACATTTTCTGCCCCAGGCCTACAGCTCGATTATGATAAGGCTTTTATTGTTAACTTAGGTGCCAGCATCCATTGTGTTGTGTCTTACCTTGATTAGTTCGTCTCTTCTTCGAGGATCAGTACCTGCAACTCCAAAAATCATTTTCTCTGCCGAGACATCCATTTGTATTGGAACCTCAAATCCTGCAAAAGCAACATCACGCCTCCACTGCAGAAGGAAAGTTCTGTAAGTTGTATCTCAAATATCAAATCCTGCATATAGGTCAGTACAGCAATACAAGTTTGAACGGTGTAACTTACAAATAATATAGACATAATCCCTGAACCTGATGTAATCAAGAGAACTTAAATTATAACTTTCATTTCTTTGTCATATTGATAGAAGAGAAGTTACCCTTTCTATTACTTCACAGTTTACAGTGAAACTGTTCTGCCACTCGACCCAACAGTTTCCCATGAATCAACAGATTTGATTTTGATTTCAAATCACCAACATGACGCGTATGTCATACATCCTGAATAGTCCTAGATGAAATAATTTTTAAAGATACCTCTCCTTCTCCAGGAACCATTCAAAAACTTTATTAGCCTTTTTTTTTTTTTTTTGGGTAAACAACCCTTTAACTTCAGCTGACTGGTTTTAAAGAGATATAAAGAAATATTTAACTTAGCTCTTCTGTGTCTTTTACAAATTGGTCATCTCACACAATTTGCCTCAGAATGCATACAAGTCAAGCTGAATTTAACACAGAGAACAGAATACTAGAACCATACAATCCACTAAATGATTTGAAGAAATTAAAGAATTAAGGCAAGAGATAAGATTGTTTGAAAACTCCAACCTCTCCTCCAAGATAGCAGAGATCACCGGAGGACGTCAAAGCAGTATCGTGGAAAGCTGATCTTCCTAGCACTCGAACCATATGCGGCTCCACCATGTGCTTTCCTCCCAATATCTTCAATATCGTTGTTTTCCCTACCAATTATGGAAAAGATAGGGGAAAGTAAACATAAATCCAAGTCCATTTCTATTGAGAAATAAACGAACTCACCAGCGCCATTGGATCCGACGAGGAGACATCGATCGCCGGCATTAAGCGTGAGAGAGAAATCGTCAATCAGAGGTGTGGATCCGAGTGGCGGATTGCCGTCAATTCCAGGATAAGTGAACTTCAATCCGTTGATCTCCACCGTCGAAGGCAAACGCTCCGTCACTGCCATCTTCTTCCTCCTCCTCCGGATTAGCAGGCAGGTAGTAGGTGAGTACTTTTGTCACCAAGACTTTTCAAAGCGCAGCATTTATATCCTCGTGTTCGCTCCGAAACGCCGATGAAAATCCAAAAACTGTTTCTTTGTTTTTTGCGTACGAAGACGGAAATAGACACGTGGCCTCGTTCCTGCCAAGAATGTCCGGAAAATTAGTAACCAAACGAAGGGCAAATTTGTAAAAAGAAACACCCAAAATTAAACTTAGGGTTTTAGTTGAAGATCCAGGATTGATGCAATACTGGTTTTCTGATTCAGGGATTGTGCTTGAAAATGGCAGCAATTTATAGCCTTTATATCATCAATAAATCGGGTGGTTTGATCTTCTACAAGGTACAATTTTCGGATTTTCTTTTTGTTTCTTGGGAAAATATTGGGCAGCATTTTTCTCCAGGGAATAGAAAAGGAAAGGTTTTTCTGGTTAAGCTTAGTGAAATTTCGCGTTTTTCGTTTTAGGATTATGGTTCTAAGGGGCGCATGGATACGAATGATAGCTTGAGAGTGGCAAGTTTGTGGCACTCGATGCACGCAATCTCTCAGCAGCTATCACCCACCACTGGCTGTTCCGGCATTGAGCTCCTTGAAGCTGATACATTTGATCTCCATTGCTTTCAATCCCTTACTGGTACTTTTCACTGTGGACTTTGTTATTGCATTTTAATTGCTGACTGAAATCTGAGTGGGGAAATAGAACTTGAAGAATATTTGAGCTGAATTATTATGTTACTTATTATTAGTAGATAGAATATGGAAATGGAAATGGAATTTCTTTGGAGCTTATTGAAGGTACTCTTTTTTTATTTGGTTAAGGTGCCAAAGAAGGATCTTGGATGCTTTTATTATCGAATTTGGAAGCAGTTGCTAGTATCTGCCGTTTTAACAGACTTAACTTCACCATGTTTTTATGGCTTATTTTGCTCTAAGCAACAATTATAGTCTAACAACTATTCTCAGTGGTTCCTACCCCC